AGTTCAGAGGGAAAGCTTGTAGGGCAAACATTCAGTCGCAGAGCTCAAGACACAGAATATCTTGATTTTACACCTCACCTGGAAACTTTTCGACAACTTTGGAAAGGTCACGAGTAGGACTCAAAGGAACCTCTTCCCATTCTGCTCTGCTCTGCTCGGGTGGTAGTGGTTAGGCTCTCAGGGTAGTGGAGGAGCCAAGGAAAACGGTGAACAAGGAGACGGGTGATGAGGCCAGAAAGGACACTTCCACACTGTAAAGCCCCAGGCGGCTGGGACCCTGACATTGATGTCATCCCCCCACTTAGCTAACTTTCCCGGGGCAGCCGGTCTGTGTGCACACCAACTCCTCCAGTCCCCCAAGCAGCCCGTGCTTCCCAGACCCCGGATCTCCCTGGTGCCAGCAAACAATATGATGCTGCCAGCGTGTATTTATCATGCCTACAGCACGGTTCCCACTCCAGGCGAACCGAGAAGGAAAAGCACGAAATTCCGAGTTTGTAGCCAGTTATCTTTGCTGGTGTCGGTGGCCGCCAGGCACCATAAAAGCAGGGAAAGAGCAGTAACTGTACTTCTATTCAGACAAGAGTAGCTGCAACTCCGGGGGATTGAGCTGTCACCATCTCAAATTCTTGATAAAAGCAGAAAGAGAAATGTTAAGCTCACAAAGCTTCAACAGGGAACCCGGTAGCACCCACAGACAAGAGTTTGACTTGCATGCTCGCTGTACTTGGCGTCCTCTGTTCTACTTGGGGGGGGGGGGGAGAAGAGAGTATAAATAAATAAATACCTACATACAGGTTTGTAATAATGTTGAGTGGTGTCACAAGGGGAGGGCAGTCCCTAGGGTCAAGACTTCCATGTAATCAAGGATGGAGAGAGCCAGTGTCACTACGGCAGGAGTACTCCCATATCTCTCCTTTTTGCCTTTGCAGGCTTGGCCACCCTCCTGATCCAATCAGCTATGACATGGACCGAGGCCATGGCCTCAGAGCTATCAGAGAGTGATGGTTTTCAGACACCAGTGAGGAGGGGTTGCCTCCAAACTGTTGCCTACAGATAAAAGGCTCTGATCGTCATTAATAAGGCTCCAAGAGACACTCACTCTTCAGTTTCGCTTCAGTCTGCTAGCTTTAAATATAGCACTCTAGATGTGTATTTTATGCACCTTTCATGTGCTGTTTTTGCTTTAGGACATGCTTTCTTTCCCTCTACATTTATTTTGGCTCTGTTTTCCCCACTGAGAATTAGCTCTTTTTCATGGCTAAAGATGCCTTTTTCCTCTTTCTTAGTTTGTAGATGTTCACGGCTGTGCCTTCAGATAAAGTGAAGCATGCTGGGATAAGGTCCCCACATTTTCCCCTCTCCAGAGACAAAGAGGCAAAAACCACACAATATTTCTACCAAGCTTAAACCAAAATTTTGACCAAAGCAAATAACTAAAAAACCTCTGTAGGCAATTTTATTTTACCAGAGAGCCCGGGACAGAGACAAATGTCCTTGTCCACATTTTTCTTTATAGAAATAATTTGATTTAGAAGTAGATTCACTCTGAGTTGGGTTTTGTCGTTACTATTATTTACTATTTCCCTTTTCTGAGCAGTCTGACCTTTGGAATTATTTCTATAGAAATCTTATTTCCACCATAGGCAATGTCAACATTATCCAAGACCACCTGGCATCAACAGCCCAAGTTCCTGTATTCCCAGTCGAAAGCTTCTGGACCTCACTAAAAAATTCCATGGTATTGTTCTATTCAGCATCCCTTCTATTCTCCTCAATCTTGCACACATGAAGCAGCTGGACCTCTGTTTTGGCTCAGGAAGAGAAAAATGAAGCGAGAGCCTTTCCATGCCTTGGGAAGGAGAATAGGAAGTTGTGGGGAAACTGGTCTTAAAGAAATCTTTCTTCTTTTCAATACTGACATAAGTGAGACTTTCTGACAACCTCTGGCAGAGCCAGAGGGAAGGAATCAAACAGAAGCCATTTAAGAATTAAACGGAGGGACTGAGTTTTGCTGAAGGGAAAAGTTGAAGATCCCAAGGACATGGCAGTAAGACAAAAATGGGGGTTCCAGTTGCTCTTAATTCTAGAAAACATTTGCTCAGGAAGTACGGAACTAGAGACTGTTAGGATTAGACTAAAAGGAGAACCTTTCCCAAATTCTGTATCTCTGTGAGAGCAGAGTTTAAAGTTTTTAGACGGGTGAAATGGGGAGAAAAGAATAAGATGAGTCAACACAGCTGCAAGAATGCCCACACCCACCACACAGGCTCTGTATCTTGGTCTTTCCACAGCTGCCTCCAGGGCCACAGCAGGCCCCTGACCATGGACAATGGGGCAGCAGCTGAGATTAGTCAAAATGGAATCTGGGCCAGGAGAGAGGCCATGCAAGAGACGGTAGCATTCATTCTTTAATCTCATCTATTCATCAATCACTCATTCTTCTCACATAGCTGCTACTTGAGCAGAGGAGAAAGAGCCTCCTAAGTGTCTTTAGCTCCTGTTCTTGATTGTGTGCCACATGCCACATGAGTGTCACCCTGTGCATTCTCCTACAGCAAAGGACGTGGAGAACACGGTTGCTCCAGAGGGAATCTGACGGTGCTAATACTCAGAGACCGACATTTCATCTTATCTATATATTGGGCCCAAAGAAAGCAGATCCAGTGAATGTTTGCTCGTAGAAAATGACCACATCTGTCACTTCTCAAGAGTATAAAATTCCCAGGCTTTATTTGTTTCCCTAGGTCCTTTTATAGTTTGCAACGCGCTACCGAGAAAATGGTATCAGTAAGTAGCCACTATGTATAGGCACGTAAAGCCTTTGTCTTTAAGAAAGCAAATACAAATATATTCTTCTGGCTTTTAATGTCATAGTATTGACCATGCACAATTATTGCAAAATGTGCCAGCTTCCTTATATTTACTGAAACAAAACAAAATTCTGCATCTCTGTCTCTATCCTGGAAAAGTTGATGGCTTCAGGAAATACTCTTGTCTCCCAAAATGTTGAATACCACGGCCTTCAAGGAGCTGGCTCTAAGATCCAGCAGGCTCCCAAATTTCCATGACCCAAGAAGCCAGACACATGGGAGGAGTAGTGTGGAAGACAGTCAGAAGGCCAGTGTGTAAGGTCTATTTCTATCTATGTAACCTTGGGGCCCATCATTGAAACTCACTTTCTTCCTCTAGGAAACGAGGATACTAGTGGCTTCCTATTTTATGGAAGAATCATAAAAAACAAAAAGACAGAGCCCATGGAAATGGTCTACAAACTAAAGTGCCATAACACTCTGAGATACTACCTTTTGTCAAATAATATGTCCATCTACCCATATGCATTTACATGCACACGTATACACTTAGGTATCTGCATGGACCCACATGTGTGCATTCATGTACACACATGTATTTACACACATGTATTGGGGGGGTTGGGGCGAGAGGGTCCATGGTTTTCATCTGGATCTTAAAGTCATTACCAAAATTGATTAAGAACCTCTGGTCTGGATGACGGCTTCACACCATCAGGCATCAGAAATATGCAAATTCAAATCACCGGGAGATCCTACTCCACCCCTAGTAGGACGGCAGCTTTATGAAGAAGATAAGCACTACGCACCATTGGTGAGGACAGAGAGAATCCCGAACACTCATACACTACTTACGGGAACGTAAAATGGCATAGCTACTTTGGAAAATGGGTTGGGAGTTTTCAGTAAAGTTAAAGATAAACTTACCCTACAGCCCAGCAATTTCACTCTTAGTAATCTACCAAAGGGAATGGAAACATGTGTCCACCCAAAGACTCGTGCACAACTGTTTATAGGAGCATTATTCAAAACAGACCAAAATTGAAAGAAAAAACTCCATTATCTTATGAACGGAAGAACTAAATGATGCATATCCATATAACAGGAAATCAAAAGGAATGAATAACTAGTACGTGCAACAGGGATGAAACTTGAAAGCATTACATTAAGTAAAAAAAGCTAATCACAAAGACCACAGAAGTGTCCAGAAATGGCAAGTTCATAGGAGCTGAACACAAATGAGTGATTGCCTATGATCGGAGGAGCAAGGGGGGGCGATTGACTACCAATGGGCTCAAAGAAGATCTGGAGGGTGATGGAAAAGTTCTAAAGCTAGATGGTGGCAATGGTTTCACAGCTCTGTACACTGACTAGAACAACCACTGAGTGGTACCCATACGGTTCGTGACTTCAGAGTATAGGGATTCGACCTTAAGATAGCTGTTTTTAGAAAAGATAGGATTAACGGACAGGATGTTTTGAGATGGAATTGTCAAACAAATATAACAAAATATTGATCCACAGAATTATTTGTCATTTAAAGAGAAGTGTTCTTTATTCTCTTGGTGCTGCAGTTTCCCCATCTGTAAAATAGAGATGATAAAAGCAACGACCTCATGAGCATTTGTGAAGAAAAGCCAAGAGAGGTGAACAATTTATTTATTTTTAATTTTTATTTTTTTTGTAGTAGAGAGGTGAACAACGTAGAAGAGGGCCTGACACTATACACATGGAATACATGTTCATCGTAGAAATTAAAGATCTCATGTCACTACCAACCACATATATTGTAAAGTGAATTTCTCTTATTTTTTTTCTCATGGGGAAAAAATGGGCATTAATAATTCAACTTTCCCCAGATGGCATAAATAAAATGCATATTATTAGAGTCCATTCAAAAGGGATGTGGAAAAATATCATAGCTGGAGATTTAGAGTTCACGTAATATATCACGAAGAACATAATCAAGAAAAACTCAGTGGGGTTATAGTTTCATTTCAGAACATACAGTCAACTCAAAAGTATTCTTATTAATATATATTTGTATTATATATGTATTTAAATATATATAAATAATATATATGTTTATATCAATTAAAAATAATTTAGTCTTCCTTCCCTGACTCCTTTTCTCCTTACCTGACTAATCACAATGCCCATGCTGAACCTCTTCCTTATTAATTTTAGGATGAAGGAAAATGCCCGCCTCTGGAAATAATAAAATTAGAAGGTGCAGAAGTTGGCATGGATAGCAGTTTGGGAAAACCATTTGTGTTTAACTGTGTGCCTCAGTCTGGAAATCGAACTTTTTGCCTCTGTGCAACGTCGAACCAAGAAATGAAAAGGTAGTTCATTAATAATCTCTGATCTTGCCAGCTTCACCTGGGGCAGAGGAATGCTTCTTCAACAGCAGCTTTATAGATTTGGGGGATTGGAAGTAGAGAAGGGAAAGGCAAATTCACAGCATAAGCCAATCAACTTTTTCTAAGGAATGGGAAATTCGGTTCTTCATTGTCCCCCCCACCCCACCTTTTCCTAACAGAATTGCTAAAGAACAGAAACATCTGCTCCTAACTCATAACTCCACGTCTTCTAAAAAAGCTTATTACCATCATAGTTCACATCTAGCTTCTCAAGTTATCAAATTTATATATTTTAAGCTAATCAGATGGATAGTCCCAGGTATAAAACTAATGTAGTAGGGCTGCAACTTAGCATACCACGAGGAGACGAGCAAAATAAATAGTATTAATGTAGTTTTGTGGGGGAATGGATCTAGTTGACATTTTTAAGCATACAACTCAACTGGAGGGGGAGAAGTGTGCAGGCTTTCTAAGAAGGTGGCCTACAACCTCCGAGCAAGTAGTGGCTTAGATCATTATTCAGTGTATCACCCTAAAGGAATGGAGATCATCGGTCAATCCAGTGAGCCAGCTGAACATTTCAGGGTGAGTGCTGCTAATTCAGGGTGAAGGGAGCATGGAGTAAGGGAGACTGATGAAGAGATAAAGGTCCATAGTGTGTAGTGTCAATGGCACATCTCTGTAAGAGAATTTGGACTCAGCTCCGATTTTAAATGGAGGGCCAGGCTGGAAACCTCTTAGGCGAACAAAATACTGTTCCTATTTGTGGAACATTGTTCCAATGCATGTTGCTTTAAAGGACAAACAGGGAAATATGATAACAGTAACTTGATTGTATTTCAATTCACGGAAAAAAATATTTGTGGGCTAGCTGATGTGCCCAAGACACCGTTTTAAGTTCTCCACAGATGATTAGTATGATTAAGTGCCAATTCTTGCCTTCAAACAAGCTCTGAACCAAGAAGATAGGGCATTCAGTTGAACATTTGTAATGCAAAATAGAAACTAAGAACTGCTAGAGGAGAAGACAAAATGGCATGGGAATTGACCTAGGGAATGAGGATCTCTCCAAGTGGGGACCAGGGAGGAGTTCTTAAAGAGTGTGGCATGAGATCAGACAGGCCTGCAAAAGAAGAAATGGAACCAAAGAAGGCAGAGGGAATAAGTCAAACTCTGGGTAAGAGAGCACGCAGGAGGGTTTCATTGAAAATTACAGGTTTTAAAAGAAAATGGGAAGAGATTGGCAAATGAGGTGGGACGGATAGGCTGTAGGGGCTGAGGAGACAAGACTAAGGAAATTCAGTCCTCCAGTAGGGGTACGAAATGGTGTCCTGAAGGTGGCCACTGCGTCCAAGAAACACTTGGGGCTGGAGCTCAGGACAGTGACTGTCTGCCAGTCTTCCCATGTTGTAAAGGCCAGTGCCTTCCAATTCATAACACCAGTTGTTACCAGCTCTGCTAGTGGTGATAAATTCACACACCTTGGTTAAAAAAAAAAAAAAAAAAGAATGGATGAATTTTCTCTTAGGCACTAATTGAACTATAGGCAAGGAGAAGGATAACAGTAATTTATTTTAAATATGCCTGGTAGGGGGTGGGATTTTGGCCTCTAGTAATACCAATCTTGCAAGAATGTGTTGCCTTTAACCATGATCTTCAAGCAGTGAGATATATCTGAGCCTCAGGACGGTTCTGTCTGGAAGATGGGTTTCCAGAGAGAACAGCAAGCCCCTCCAAATGATTCTTATCCAGCCCCCACCGGAGAGCCTCTCATCTTACTGTCTTGCAGGTGGCTTGAGGCAATGGACAAAGCAACCCATCCTGTCCGCCAGGTGAGGTATCCGTGGTATTCATCTCAGCCTTCATTCTGCTTTTCTCTCCGAGGGGGAAAGGATCAAGTCAGATGTCATGCAGTTCACCCTAGGACTTCTCAGATCTCTAAAAGCTGGCAAAGAGGATTTTAAGCTAACAGGGTTTTCTATTCACATTCTATGAGGGAACTTGCATTCCTGCTGTTCTTTTTATTTTCGTGAGTTTGAGTGACATTTCTCTCCGTGAACTCGCTGGGTAGTCACAAACTGGGGTGGGATTTCCGTTTCACATAGAGCAGTCCAGGAGGTTAAACCCCTGCTTCTGTTTTCTTTTCATTCCCTAAGTACAAGGTCTCAGGGACGTCTTGGGACAGCGCTGGTGGCTGAGCGGCCTCTTAGAAAATGAATGTCTTATGTTCAGAATTAGTGTTCATATCCTTGTTTAGGATGCATACTAGCCCACCTTCCGCAGCTCCTACCTGTGCAAAACTCCCAGACTTGAAGCAATATACTTTTTAAGTTAGGCTTGACCTATAAAGTGATAGCTAACTTCATGAGATCAACAGGTGAAGCATCACTTTAGCCCCTAAGACATTTGATACCCCACTTTCTGAGCTTTCACTGGTGGGGGCGAGGGGCTGGGATTGCTTTAATACCCAATTATTTAATTTTTATGCTATGAACAGCATTTCTAGTAAGGTTATAGATAGATTACCTTTAAATATGCTCATTTCCTTACAAAATGCCAGACAAGCAAAAGGTATTTACAATCTATTATCTTCTCTCCCTATCTTCCGGCTCTTGTACGTTCAGGAAAATCTGGATTGTTTGAGCTTACATGTACTGCCTTGTGTCCTATAACTGTCCTTTCTGAACAATCACTGGCATCATCATATGACAAACAGCAGGACTTGTGTTTCATTTTACCTGGAACACAATGCTCAATACACTCATCCATCTCTCCAATGCGTCATCCTAATGAGCCTGATATTTTTCAGAGGGATCTCTTCTGCTAATGCACTCAGAGCATCTATAGCAGAATGAAAAGGGAACACCCAAACTCCCAGCAGGCTTCCATTTCACAGCAAAGAATACAGTCAGCTCTGCATCCTGAAATCTTGTGCACCGCCTTGTTAAAACGAAAGAGCAAAAATGAAGCCAAATAAAGAAGCGAAACTGGCCAGCACTTGGCAGGGCATTATGATAAAGAGATAAAGCACTGTGTCCCCTGCCTCAGGTCAAGTTACAGGGGAAAGCCTGCCTCTCAGGCCTATGGACCCACAGCTACCCCCCCCCCCCAAAGAGCTCAATTTATCATGACCTTCCATATCATTGACCATGAGAACCTAATACCAAGTCTGCCCTGGGGCATGTAACTTGGTCCTTTGCACAAAGGGGAATTCTAAAGTGAAGCAGGAGCCAAGGGCTGCTGTTATACACAGTAGACATGCCAGGAACAGGGCTCAGGGGACAATCCGAATGGCCAGTGAAATAGCACATTGGGACCAGCATTTATAGACAGGGCGTAGACATAGTCTTTGCTGGGGTGCCCGTTTCCACATCCTTTCTACATACCACTGATACTCTTTTGCTTTCCTCGCACTAGAATAGAAACCAAAGAGAAAGGATGTCAAGGGGCATGGAAAGGAAGAAGTTCTCCATAGCCCCTGGATAAATTCAGGTTTTCTGGCGAGTTGCTCAAGTATTCGATTGCCTTAGCAACAGAATCACTTAGGGCAGTGCCTTCTCTGAAGTCAAATAGCCTTTGTGCTGGTATCATTGGCTCTGGGAGTCAGGGACCACCCGCACAGGGCGACCACTCAGATGATCCCTTTGTGCTACACCCACAGACCCATGTCTGGGAAGATGTTACTCTGCACAACAGTAGCCTTCCGCCCCTGGCTATCAAGAACCCGGAGTGCCTGGGCCTTTTGCACCAATTGGACAGAAGCACAGATATGTGGGTCCAGCACTATTGCATTCTGAAGGACGGCTGCTTGTACCTCTATGCTAGCATTCGCTCCACCCAGGCTTCAGGTATGGACTCAACTTTCACTTGAAATAATAGTCATTACAACAATAATAGTAGTGACAGCCTAGCTTTATGGACCTTTTACCAAGCCTTGTACTGTCTATATTACCTAAATTAGTTCATTTACTAATTACTACTAACTATTTAAGGATAACTCATTTGGTGAAAAAAATCCAACTGCAAATAAAATGCCAATAATCTCTGTGTCAAAAATTATAGGAAGGCTAGGGGTGCCTGGCCAGCTCAGTCGGTAGAGTGTGTGACTCTTGATCTTGGGGCTGTGAGTTCAAGCCCCATGTTGGGTATAGAGATACTTAAAAATGAAATCTTTAGGGATGCCTGGGTGCTAATTAAAGATAATTAGTTCATTATCCGATGAAGAGATACTACTATTATTACCCTTTTACACATAAGAAAATTAGCTGGGGAGGCTACTTAGCTTGACAAGATCACAAGTAGTCAACAATGAAGCTGAGATCTCAACACAGCCAAGCTAATTCCAGCTCCTGTAGATTTCATCCCATGCTTTCATTGCCTTGAAAAGCAAAAAATAAACTCCTTCATTCTTTTGGTCACTGATGACATTCAGAATCCGTGGCAATAGCTTTCTGGGGCAGTAACTCCCCCTTCTCAGAGTATTCCCAATGCTGGACAAGTGAGTAACAAAAATAACATTAACTGTCAATTTTTTTCGGGCAAGTTACTTAACTGCCTAGAACTTACTTTCCTCATTTGTAAAATGGAAACACCTATATATTTCACAGGAGTGTTGGAAAGATTACATGAGGTAACTGCTATTAGGGGTTGCTCTACATATAAAGCCCTTCTATACAAAATGTATATATCTTATATATTGATTAAATTGTGTATTTTAAAAGCTGTATGTACAAAATGGGTATATAACAATATAATTTAATAAAACAAGTATGCCTGCTTTCAATAAGAGAGATTATTTTTCTTGTAATTTTTAAAAGATTTTTAAAAAATATTTTATTTATTTATTCATGAGAGATAAAGAAAGAGAGAAACAGAGGCAGAGATATGGGCAGAAGGAGAAGCAGGTTCCCTTCAGGGAGCCGAATGTGGGACTCGATCCCAGGACTCCCGGATCACGACCTGAGCCAAAGGCCGATGCTCAACTGCTGAGCCACACAGGCATCCCTAAAGATTTCATTTTTAAGTATCTCTATACCCAACGTGGGGCTTGAACTCACAGCCCCAAGATCAAGAGTCACACACTCTACCGACTGAGCCGGCCAGGCACCCCTAGCCACTCCTATAATTTTTGACAAAAGAGATTATTAGCATTTTATTTGCAGTTGGATTTTTTTCACCAAATGAGTTATCCTTAAATAGTTAGTAGTAGTAAACATCCTGGAATCTCAGTCATTTAATAATTTTTTAACATTAATGCTTATTTTTAATTAAGCTAGACAGCCATGCCAAGTTGGAAGTATCTGGTGACCATTTCAGCCTCCTTGGAAAGTACGAAAGAAGTATAAGGCGAACATCACACTATGTTCCATTTCCCTTCATTCAGGATGAGCGATACAGTGATTCTCTTTCACTTACTCACCTTTCCATTTGAGAGCATCACAACATAACCCAAAATATTATTCAACTATTCAGAGAGACCCAGAATCTCTAAGCACTTCCCGAACAGGCTGTTCCTATTCAATACCAAATCCATAGTTTTAAGTACCTGATACCAGGATGAGAATGAAGGTAAACAAAACAAACCTCCAAAGCAGTCATGGACTGGGATTTTTGTTATAAAATATCACCGCAAGAGTGCCTGGGTGGCATAGTTGGTTGAGGGTCTAGCTCTTGGTTTCGGTTTAGGTCATGATCTCAGGGTGCTGGGATTGAGCCCTGAGTTGGGCTCTGTGCTCAGGAAAAGAGTCTGCTTAAGATTCTCTCCCACCCTCTTAGTCCCCTCCCCTCTCTTTCTCGCTCTAAAATTAATCAATTAGCTAGCTAATTAATTAATTAAAATAATCACTGCAAAAGTCTGAATCATTTTAATGACTGAATCAATGAAGCTCATTTTTAAGAGATTGTTCCCAGAGATAGAGAGGAAATGTTTAGGATTGAATGCTCAGCTCACTCCAAACTGAAATACCAAACCCCTAGGGCCCAGAGGCCTCCACGTTTAAAACAGTAATGACAGCCCTAGGTGGCTTCCCCGATTCTGAAAAGTTGGAGGCCCTACTTTGGAAAGTCCTAGTTGGAGAGCTAGAAAATGGCTGCTAATAAATGGCCTAAAAATAAGAACAGCAAAAGCAGAGTTACCATTTAGTCAGTATAGTTTTTGTACTGGTCCCTCTGTTAAGTGCTTTTTCTTATCATTTCATTTAATTTCAATAACCCTCCTATGAGATAGGTTACTATCACACCTACCACTAGGGAAATTGATGCTTGGCAAGGTTATATCATTTGTTCACATTCCCCTGGCTAATAATATATGATAAAGATAGAATTTGAACCCAGGTAGCCTAAGTTACACCAACAAAAAGAAAAAGACAGGGAAGAAAAAAAAATGGACATCTTCTTTATATTCAGCTCCAATCATTTCACACATCTTTCCAGAACCTTCCAAGGTTCTTTGTTACCTCCAGAGCACTCGAGAGTTTTATATTGTGTCCCAAAATCCTTCTCTCTGGTTTTCTTTTCCAATCCTTGTGTTAGAGCACCTTGCATTCTAACCAAACATGGTCATGTTCTATTTCCTTAACACACATGTTCTATTTCCTTAACACATCTTCTTTTTTCTGACAACACATCTTTGCTTGTGCTAGTTCCTCCTCCTGGAACCATTCTATACCTACCAATTCCTCAACATTAGTTGGCCGGATTCCACTGCCCTTCAAATGCTTATTCGGTCACCAGCCATCTCTGCTATAAAGCAACCCCATATGGTCTCCGACAAAGCATCTCCCCTCTCTGAACTTCCACACTTACCCATCTTGTGACACTTATTGCCCTCTACCTTGTGTGTTACCTCTAGATGGCCGTCTTATCTCTTCTAAGGGACCATATGCTCCAAAGATGACTCTATTTATGTGTTTTTAGTGAATGAACAATCAAATTACTGCAAATGGCCATCACTCCCATGAAGTGTGAGTAGTTTGTCTTCCCCTCACTTCATAAAGAAAGGTTAGAAGATTAGAAAACCAATTCAAAGGCAAAACCAGAACCCAGGCCATCAAATGCCTAGCCCTTTGGCTATCTCACGCTCTTTCTAGCCCTAAGAAGTCATCTAATTTCTATCTATTTTTAAATTCCTTCCTTGAAAATATATCATTTTGTGACTAATAAAAATATTTAATCCAAATCCATTCATTCTTACCCAGCTGTACATCTTAAATATTCCTATGTCTACAGGCCCTCCATTTCTAGCTTCAATTATCTTAAATATGGATTAAAAGAACATTTTCTTACTGAAATTCCAAAAGAATATGTTATATCTAGGCCATGTTCTAAAATAGAGGCCTGTGATTTAAGTTTTACTTGGTTTTACTCTTTCTCGAATAAAAAATACAATTTGCCTGAGCATGCACCTTCTTCCAGAAAATGCACTTTCCTGCCACCTCCTTCCCACTGTCACCCTGACAGCTGCTGGGTCCGGATGGAAGCTCTCTGAGGGTTAACCAGCAGCTCGCCCTTCTTTAGCATGAAGGGGCTGGGCAGGAGCTCTTCTGGAGTGCTTTACCCTTCCCCAGACTGGAATTTTGAGCTGAGGTCTACATTCTTTTTTGGAAGAGTCTTTTCCAGTCTTGTACATTTTCACATGCATCGTGACCTGAGGCTCATAGCCAATGATATGGCACAAGGAAACCCAAGCTAGCATGGAGGCATATCCAAATCTCCGGTGGGAAGTTCCCAAAATAGAAATGCCTCTCTCTACTGTCCATTAAGAATCACTGCCCTGGGGAGCCACATGGTCTGTTTGGGTTTTTTTTTTTTTTGGCGGGGGGTGGGGGTGGGAGAACTGGATCAACTGCTCAGGTGGATTGGAGGGAGAAAGTTAGCATGTATCACTGAATGCTTCCTATGTGTCCAGGACTTAGATAAGCATTTTATGTTCATTATCTAAAGCCAATATTTGCAAACCACCACTGCTATTGCCCCATTATATGAGAGAAATGAAGGCTTAGAGAAGTTAACTAACATGCTGATGTGCCCACCCCCTGCTGTTAAGTGACAAAATATGAACAAATGTCATCCAAATCCTATGCCCAAACTCTTAGCCATACTGCTACAGAGAACACTCTCTGCCAGAAACAAGTCTCAAACAAGTAGTCCTCAGTGCTGGGTATCTAGTCTCTGGAATTTGGCACATTGACTGCCATAGTCACGATCCGTGTAGTCCAGCTATTTATCACAACAACCAGGAGTTGTGAGGACAGGCAGTAGAGAAATTTACCGAGAATGGCTGAACCCATGCTGTGCCATGAACAGGCACTAAAATAAATCAATTAATCAATAAAAAATAAAATACTCAGTTTCATGTAATCATTTCTATATGCAAGGAATTAGAATAATTATATTCATAAAGATTATACAGAGTCCTAATACTTATTTTCAGTTCTTCTGGATGGATGCTAAATGAATGACCTTTGCGCTGGTCTGATCTATTAATTCCTCACCTCCTTGTACTGTCCAAATTCTGCTTGGCTCTTGCATATCTCACCCTCGTTTGGTTCCTTGTTCTCCAGCACTGTGAAGCAGGCGTTGGTTACTATTTATAGCATTAATCATCAAACTACACGTTTTTACCCCATTACTGAGTCATGCAGTCAACGTAGCAGGTTGCGACGAGTACTTAAAAACACAATAGAATAGAATTTAATTGAATAGAAAATATCATGGTACATCACAGTGTTTCACAAAACTTTTGGGCCAACTGTATGAAAACATGGAGAGCTCTGTATTTATTAACATCTTTGGATCACAGCCAAAAAGGTTGGAAAATATTCAGGTACAAAAACACTGTCTCTTTTACATACGGTACCTTAGGGTATTTAAAAAAGGTTCTTTCCTTTCAATTATCCTTGTCCTCCGCCTACCAGATTAGTTGCTATGTTATTAAGACTCAGGCTTCTATGACCATCACTTCTCAGACACACGACCCCACCCCACCCCCCAACCACAGCATCTCAGTTACCTTACTGTTTTATTTCCATTTCATTTTATATTGATTTTATTCCAGTGATTTCTCTTCTTGATGAGAGATCCAGGAGACCTCCTATGCTATTTCTCACTTCTAGACTTATCTGTAGTATTTGGGACATGACCTACTGGCTCTAACAGTCACCTGAGGTAGTGAGGCAATCCTGGGAGCCACAAAGAGAAGGCCGGGAAAGATAACAGTGAGATGAGGGGAAAGTACATGTGGCTCTAATTTCCTGTGAAAACCACATTAGATGCGAATCTCACATCTTACTTCCAGCTAGATAAGTAGGTCTCTAATGTATTGTCAGGGTTGAAGAAATAGCACCAGTCAGCTCCCTGAAGTCCGTGCTTACTGTCAAGGAAAGTGCTCATACCCTAATGATATGCATTACTGGCTTGCCTGTGCCGGCTAATATTAAAAAGCCACAGTGTGAATATTCCAGAAACCCTTTAGCCAAATGCCTCTTCATAGCCCTCAAGCCCCATGTCATTCACCATGTACTTGATGATTCTTTTCCCCTCTCTCTCTCTCTCCAGCAAAAGCTGAAAGTAACAAATTATGACTGTTAACTATTGTTCTTGAATAAATCACATCAAGGTCTGTGTGTGCTCCTCAGATATATTTTACATTATTGCAACAAATGGAACACTTAATGCTTGCAAGGTTCTTGTGAGAAATTTCTGTCCAAATGTTGTGCCAGCTTGCTATTTACTGCTGCTACTTAATCCAGAGAGACTGGCCCAGTGAGATCACCTCAAATGAGGTAATGGGGTTGCAATCCGATGTCTTTACTGCCAATCATTTCTACCCTGTAACTGGTTAGAAAAGGGGTCAGGAACTTTCCTGTTTGTGGCACACATCTTTTTGGACAAAACTTTCTATCTGTTCTCAAAGAGGGTAGGGATGAGAGAGGGTATTCATGTCTGCTCAGACACATGAGAAAGGGAAATCTCACAAGTAGAAAGAAGTCAGAAACCAGTGCAGTAATAGAAAAACTTTGTACTACTATTGGGAGAAGAGATTTAAGACAGCAAACCAATCCGTGGATATGTCTTCAGGTGGCCCTTAGTCCTGAAACATCTAGCACATTGCTTATTCCACTTCTAGTATATACCCCAAAACATAGACCTGTGCAAAAATTGTACACAAATATTCATAACATTATTCATAATAGCTTAAAAAATGAAGAAAATTCAAATGTCCTAATGAGTAGATAATGAGTAGATAAAATGTGGTATGCCCACACAATGGAATATCTCTTGTCGATAAAAAGGAATGAGGAATTGATATATGATCTAGCATGGATGAACCTGGAAAACATCATACTAAATGAAAGAAGCCAGTCACAAAGACAATATATCATATGATTCCGTGTATATTGAGCACCCCAGGAAAAGCAAATCCATAGAGACAGTAAGCAGGTTAGGTCGCCTGGTTTTCAGATGGGCCAGCAAACGGGGAGTGACTGATAAATGGACACAGAGTTTCTTTTTGAAGTGAAGAAAATGTACTCAAATTAGATTTGGGTGATGGTCACACAACTCCATAAACTAAAAATCATTGCTTACACACTGCAAATATGTGAATTTTATGGTGTGTCCATTAGCACAAAGACAGCGCTCACTCTCGGATTAGGGTAAACACCATTTTACTGGGGCCTACCAAAGGGGGAAAAAATCTAACCATTTCTAAAATGAATACTTTCCTAGAAGTTGGCTTTGAAATGGGCTCTTTTTAAATGAAAAAAGTTTTTAGTTTGGCACTGCATCTAAACCCCCTCTATAAAATAAACACATTTTCAAGTCCAAACACCATTCTTTGTTTAAAAAGAAAAAAAAAACTATGGCTTCTGGACAGTGTGCAATGGCACCAAATATAACTAAAAGGAAAATGAAAGGAGTTGTATGCAAAGGGACTCAGTCCCTTACTGGCATAGGATAATTGTCAGGGAGAGCAGTGACCCAAGTTGGATTTTGGTATTTTGTTAGTATAGGGCACTGAAGTGGATCCTGGGGCGGGGAGTGGGAGATTAGATTAAGAGTTAGCAAGAGCAAGGAAGAGATTCAAACATCTAATCATCGATAGGAGATTCAGGTATACCTCAGAGCATCGACACTACAAGACACAAAAGGTTTTGCTTTTTCAGCATCTTCCTCCAGACTGATATGCTCTCCCTACCCCCCAAATAATGGAAACAAAATTCAGGCCAAGCAACATATATCCACTAACATGGATTCAAAAGACCACAGGGAAGAAATTATCTTCTAAAACCAGTCATTCATTCTCATTTGAATTCAAGTTGGCTCCCTCATATCATCCTGTGGGTTCATATTTTAAATGTGCTTTGCATATGCACAAAGAAGGTGAGAATCTGAGTTGGTTTTAGAAACTGCTGGCAATCTCATTATTCAGGAAGGGTGCCTTAATGGTTTTGTCCAAGCAAATGTTACTTAATTTTCTTCTAATGTGATAGTGCAGGTGTCACTCTTTGATACCAAGAAATTTATTTCAAAATGTGTCCTCCAGGCAAAGTAGATGGTTTAGACCCACAGTAACCCAAAGGTAAATACTAAACATGCAGTGAGAAGATCACAAAAATGGAAATGGGGAAATCCTACCTCATTACCAGCCTTGCCATTAATCATTAGTGGAGGCCCTTCAATTACAGACTCTCCTGAGTCTCAGTTTTTTCATCTGCAAAATGAGACACCTGGATTAGAGGTTCCTGCAGACACAAAATTTTCTTGGTGCTTTTTCAGATTCCTTTTCTCCATCTTACTCTTTCCCTATTCTTCTCATTTGCTTTTTCCTTTCACCCTCTGTAGGTGGCCTGTATTTACAAGGATATAGGGTGAACGAGCAGACCCTAAGCTCCAAGCAGTCAGTAATTGAACTCAAACCTCCATCTGAAGAGTTCAAGACTTTCTATTTCTGTGCAGAAAATAAGACCGAAAACCAACGGTAAGTCGAGGCCTGCATATTTCTTTTTCTTCATCTGCCCTGACAAGAGTCTTGTTAGCAAAAGTCAACTTCAACTTTTGTTGTGTAGCCAACTTCAACTTGCATCTTCAGTTAACTCTCTCCCTTTTTTTTTTTGCATCATCTCCATAGTTAATATTCCTCAGGATTTTTTTAATTTAATGCATAGAAGATGACTCTTCCAGAAGTACTTTTTTTTAAGAGGAAAAGGAGTCTACCATTCTTCCCAAGATGGTGGCTTAGACTTCAACACACACACACACACAAAAATCTACTAACAGTTATCTGTAAATAGTTCAAATTATTAATTCAGATTTGTTGCTTTACCTCCTTTTATGTAACTTTATTGATATGCTCATTGGAATTTGGTCAGTTGTTTGTTTTTTTTATAAGCCACTGAAGGATATAGAACTCACCTATATAATTCAATATGTTCACTATCCAGCGTGGGATGTACAAATGGGCGCTTGGGTTCATGACGGCTTGAGGGAACAAAGGGCGGTATGGTCAACAGAGACAAAACTATGAGGCAGAGGAAGTATTCTCTCAGACTCAAAGGATCCTCCTCCATCTAATTTCAATCCCCAAGACATCCAGTGTCCTCCATCTCCCATTCCTATCCTCACCTGCTTGAAGACCATCCCTCACCTCAACCCAATTGGGAGACGCTTTCTCCCAATTGGGTTAAAAAGATCAATAAAGAAATTCAGTCATTTATTAAAACAGGGGACATGGTAAAATCTTCAGGAGTATTTACCAGAACCAAATACCTTGCTTTAACTCAAAGAAATAAAACTCTAAAAGTAGAATTTCAGGACTTCCAGCAAGTAACCATTTAGGGAAGGGAAGAGTCTCCCCAGGCCTTCTCCCATTATGTAAACCCTGTCTGCTCCACTCATTCCTAAGGATAGGCTGGAGTGGGAGGTTAATGAATATAGAATTGCTAGATATTTTGCCAAGATCTCTTTCCCTGGGCTGGTGCTACACAATCTGGGTGGCGGACTAAGATGGTTCCTTTGAAGGTAAGGCTCCAGATGTCATATTAGAAAAAGGGTCAATGAAATGAACTCCTGTCTGATAAAATCAACTGGCTTCTCTATGCGTGGAGGCCAAATAGTTGAATTTCACTGTCAAATCCATATGTGGACATTATCAATAGGAAACAATACTGAGTCACTAGAGAACTATTTCAAAGCATAAGAGCAGTTTCACAAAGTGTGGTTCGTGGAATTTTGCCTTCACAAGATGCCCTACTCCCCAAAAATAGTTACGTAAGCTTAAGAAATGATACAAATCATATTCCCCTCTCAGAGAATCACAAAGCACATTGACTTATTCATGTTCCTGACACACTGTGCTGGAAAGAATCCTAGTTACGTCTCTAGAACTCCTACAACCATAGTGTATCTGACCCAAACCATTCTTTAAAAAATAAATAAATAAATAAATAAATAAATACTATTAAAATACCCTGAGAATAAATTATATTTGGTACATTTTATAAAACATCATCCAATAAAATGAAAAGAAGGGAGTGGAAAAAGGGGGGAGCTAACCTGCAGAGTGTGCTATGAGTACAAATGCAAAAAGGAATATTTTTCCCTCATGGCAATATTTGATTGCTATACATTTGACCAACTGAACTTGAAATTTAAATAGAAACAATTATAAAAGCCCCATAGCTCCAGTGATCACTATTTACAGACATCGCACCTTCTTCTGATCCTATTTACAACATCAGCATAATTTTATTTCTTTGCTACCTCTGTATAGTCCACATTCGGTGTTTTACCATTTTGTTCAGTCCAAATCAAAGAATCAGGGTTTACTATATTAATTTCAAATTAAATCACCCAGAGAAACAATTAGGAAATAAATGTGAACGATTTTTTTTTTTGACATTTCACCTTCCTACCGTTCAACCATTTTTTTTTAATGACCTGTCCTGCACTGTTATTTCTACAGCTGGATTACAGCTCTGAAAATGTCTATCAAAAAGTGGCTTCCTTTGCATCAGGCTATTCAAGACTTCATGAATCGACCTCTAGAAGAGACTAGAATGTGAAAGAAACCCTAATCTTAAGAGAAGTGACCCACAAAATCATCACCAACCAATATGGGAAGAAACAAAAATATGATTTCATTATATAGCATTCAACTGAGCATTTCTCAGATACACTAAAACTTTGTGGTAAGATTATACTTTTGTTTTTGAACTAAAGCACGGAAATCTAACCTGACAATCTATAACAACATTGTTAATACCCCCACATTTTTGCCCACCAGGCTGTACGTGTTAGCATCAAAATATAGTATGTCCCTTACCCCTGTCTTTTGAAAGCATAAATACAATAAAAGTTGATTTATTTTCTCTTTTGTATTCTTTGCTAAATGCTCCACTCTGTCCATTGACTGTAGGCTTCCTAGAATGCCTACAAGCCATGATGTGGAAAGCTGATATTTGGAAAAATTAAGATCACAGAAATGAAATGGCTCAAATGGTGAGTAAACAATTCAGCTAAACAAGGTCCTCTCTGTTAGGTTATCTCACAATGGACTGGCCCAAGTGCCTCCAGGACTTCCCAGATGACAGAAAATAATAACAATTATTGTTATAAAATAAATAAAGAATTAGGCTAAATTCAGGGGAGAAAACTCAAAGGCATGCATCATCTTACTATCTGAATTATTACCTGAATATCGGTCACACTGCAAGGGGAAAACACAAAATGAATCAAGAATGTCCTACTCTTAATCCTGGAAGTAACATTCAGAGAGATTCAAAGGTAAATTCTAAGTATCAACCTTGTGTCTTAGTGGAATGATCCCAGTGTGTATCCATGAAGTTGGAAGTCCCATACACTCACTAATGGAACATGGAAAATAAATTTCAGGGAGTTCAACTGTCAGCTTCAAGTGCTCTGGAACAGCTTCTGACAACAACAAAAAATTTGAGGCCTTGTCTTTTCACAAAATAATAGTATGTCGGAGATTGCAAGACCTTTACAACTCAACCCCTCTTCTTTATAGCTGAGGCTCTAGGAGGGAGTCGCCTGTTGAAGATCACATAGATTGTTGATGGCAGAACTGGGACTGAAGCCAGGTCTTCATCTCTCCATCCAGTGTTATTTCCACTCATCCGACAGCCCTTCATTGTGACCAAGGACGTGGTGTGGTTTTACAGACACAATGGAATCGCCCACTTGCCAAAGTTGTCCAATACTTCTAGGCTTTGCCTGGGAACTGAAACATGTTGATTCCAGCAATATAGCATGTTTCTATCTCCCCAGTCTCCTAAAGGACTCCATGTTAATTCAAATTATTCTTTACAGAGACTCTTAAATGTGAAAAAGATATGAAAATTCAAGCCATTCTTCTATACTCTTCACCTCCACCCCCCCCAAAGAGACTGTGAACTCTTCAAATAGATGGCAACAGCTTGCAGCTGTCGTTCACCACAACTCACATAAAGGAGGCCTGTGACTGTGTGAGCATGTGCTACTTAGTTCCCGTATTAAGAGGAGCTGCACAGATGAGCCCAGGCCCCCAAAAAGACATGCTGTAATACTCTAACCAACTTAATACCATAATCAAAAATATTCAATTAACAATAACAGATAACCCTCTGTTCTGACAAAGGCCCCTTTGTTTTCCCCATATTTGCCATGATAATAATGAGGTCTTTCAGCAGGGGCATCATCGGTAATGTTCATGTCAGAAGCCTGGAGCTTTCTACATCCGCTCCCCAGTGGAACACTCTGCCTTTCTGGAGCTCCGCCATGGAATGCACAAACTGTGCCGTTACCAGGCAGCCAGCTAGTGACCACAGCCAACTGTAACACTGGCACAGAGCTTTCCCCTGAAGGAGAAAAACAAAAGCAACTACCTCAATAAAATGTGAGTGCGACTTTCCCCAAATTAAGCAGTCATCGAACTCATTTGAAAGTGAAAGGTATCAACATTCAAAGTTCAAAGATACTCCTCAAAAACTACTGTTGTTGCTCCTGGAAGATTCTAGAGATCTAAACAGTCCCATACATTATGCAAAAAACCCAACTAAACAAAAGAACCCACCGGCAACACTGGGTGTGAGCATTTTTAGGTGGAGAGATTTTTAAGCTTTTATATGACTTTCAAGGGTTATGTGACCCAAAAAGAACTTTAGTCCTACGATTAAGAATATTTCTCAAGATCCACAAGGTTTCCATCTTTTATAGAGCTGAAAGGAAGGGGAAAGTGCAGGGCCAGGCTTCTACATATGTACTACCCCACTGCCCATTTTAGGATTAGCCCACCTTTTGGCAAATCAAGGAGAACTTGCCCGGAGTCTCATGGTCAGGTAGTCAATAAATGTTCATTGAGCACCTAATGTGGGCCAAGAACTGTTGCCACCAGGATGCTAACATGAAGGAGAGGCAGAAAAATTATTAAAGCATGTCCTCTGCAGCCAGAGGGCCCAAGTTCAAATTCATTTCCTGGCTGTGACCTGGGGCAAGCTACTGTACTCTTTCTGCTTTAGTCTCCTCATCTATAAATGGGGCTAATTACAGGATCTTATGAGAAATGAACAGTGTACAGAAAGCCCTGGAACAGTGAGTAGCCCCAGGGAACTCTCAATACAATTATCCATATTGTTAGCAAGGCGTGTCAGCTGGCTACACATAGACCTCACATCCCTGTAGACTCTTCCCGAAGGAAGGCATCTTGTCTCCTTCACCTCACTACCTACAGATGGAGAAGATGAAGGAACATTTTATCAGAGTTTCCACCTTAAGAGGACTTCACAGAGAGGCTGTGAAGTAGAGTTTCAGGCTTTCTGGGTCGTATGCCCTGTGGTATTACCTGTTCAGAACCCTACAGTTGCGAAGATTGGCCTACAGTTGTCAAAACTCTGCTAGCCCAACTCCTTGATCAACATGGAAGATTTTCCATCGGTATTCCTAGAAGCCCTAAACTAAGCCCAGATTGTTCTCAGGAGGTCCCTGATGGGCCTAAGTAGTGTTGGTCTCACTCCAATTCTTGTTCTGCCTCATTTGTTGCCTTAATGTGCTCGCTGTAAAGGAAAACCCCTGGACTGTTCTGTACTTGGGAATTACATTTAGTGAAGATGAATTAAGAAATATCAAAGAGCACGATGATTTAAGAAAGGAACGCTACAGGCTATCAGTCTAGTTCCTTACTTGCCTCGCCCACTTAGCCTGAGAACAGGATCTCAATGATCCCTTGTCTCCAAATCACCTCTCGAGCGTCTTCCTGGGCTTAGAACAATCTCTCCCCACCCACCCTGACTTTTGAGAAAAAATACTTTCTCCAGAGGTTTGGCTCACATAGCACAGTTCTGTTTTCTATTCTAATCGATGCAGCAACCATGTAAAACCATTTCAAAGACACGTCCACAGTGGGATGTAAAAGCATATATTTTTTTTAAAAAAAGTAACCACTCTAACAATACCTCACAGCTCACATATACAATATTTATGCATGTCTATTTTTGGTTTTAAAATATCCCTCATATGTTTCCAAACCTGCTTTTTTTTTTTGTTCCAACAAAGCAGGAAAGAATATCCAATGGGGGAAAAAGAAAGACAGTCTCTTTAACAAACAGCGTTGGGAAAATTAGAGAGCCACAGGCAGAAGAATGAAACTGGACCATTTTGTTATAGCAAACACAAAAATAGAGTGGAACCCATTCTTGAGCAGAGATTTTCACTTCAGGGACTCTTGGAAGGCTATGAATACCCAGGATGCATAAGCAAAGTTCTGAATTATGCTAGTGGATTATTTGATCAATCTTTTGAAGAAGAGTGGGGAGGATCTCACACCTGTAATTATTGGTTTGATGACTTCGGGGAGGTGGGAATATGTCTGTCTGACTTACGGTCTTCCCTGAAGCTAGCACAACATCCAGCAATCCTTAAGCATTCGATATTCATGCGGTAAAAGCGTAAACACATGAATCTAGCCATTGACCTGAGCACAGATGAAAATTAAATCTGCTACTTTTGAGCAGATGTGGATTCTGAGTTGGATTAGGACTTTAAGGATCGCTGGTTGCAGAAAGGTTTGGGAGAGAACTTGAGCCTGAAGCTCTCATAATTATGAAGAAATGCTGGCATCTCTGGAACCCAAGGCAAGAATGCACCCCCAGAGGCAGCCTCAGTGGGTATGGAACCATAGGAGGAACCCCAGGCCATCATCTCTCTGTGTTCTTATGTTCGTTGTGTGTCCACTTCACCCTCCTTCCTCCCTACAGGTTGACTTCAGTTGGTACAGAGAATGAATGCAGGAACTGGGGTCAAATCCCAATGACAGTCACAACCTCTAACCAGCAGCCACTCATGAAGATTGTCCACCCCCTTATTCATAATGTGGGCAGCCAGAGCAGAAGGCAGGTAGCGTTCGGAGCAATCATAGCAAGGGCCAACACGTTAGGCTGAGCTACTGCCTCTCACCAGTAACACGGGGCCTATACAGGAGACCCAAACTCAAGAAGGAGATCTATCCCTTGCCAGAGATATTGGAGACTCCCCAGTTCAGAAACATTTGCTCCCACATAGCAGTAAATACTATCCCTCCGCTCTTGCCAAGCGCTTGAAAATTATGTCTCTCACTTTGGAAGGTGGAACCCAGACTGTAATCTAGGCAGCTGCGGTTCAAGTCCAGCTTCTGTCATTTGCTATCAGAGTCTTGAGAATTCGGTGTGACCATATAATGTATAATCTAGCTTCTAATCAGGACATTTTGAGAGAAGATACTTATTATTTTTTAGATTTTATTTATTTAATCATGAGACACACAGAGAAAGAGGCAGAGACACAGGCAGAGGGAGAAGCAGGCTCCATGCAGGGAGCCCGATGCAGGACTCGATCCCAGGACCCCGGGGTCATGCCCTGAGCCAAAGGCAGATGCTCAACCACAGAGCCACCCAGGTGCCCCAAGAGAAGACACTTCCAGTAATTGTATGAAGACAATGGATATGAGCAGGGAATGTCTTGGGCAAAGTAAGACATATGTCATCTTATGAATAATGTACAAAATGGTATTCTCTGCTTCATCATCCACTTGGAGGAACATGATTTTAGCTTACGACTTCCAGTACATATGTTCTCAGGTCCAGTTCCCCACGAGAGAATAATCTCTCTTTCAATACCACTTCTAAGAAATTCAGAGAGATCAATTACTCATGACCAAGAAGGTGGATTTACATCATAAAAAAAATAGATTCTGGGAGCTCTCAAGCCCTAACTCTGTGTGTGTTTGGAATGAAATTGGAAGAGGAAGAGTTGCATTTTCAGAAAAAATGGAATCTTTGGAAAGCCCCTGGTTGAGATTTTATCCTACTTCAGTAAATTTAATGGTGTAGAGGAGCCC